CAAAAAGACCAATGGAGCATAATTTACAACAAAACCTTTTATCAATAATAAAACTTTTACCATCCACTTACCTTGGTGGAATTTATGAAAACAATATGAGAAAAACAATAACATTATCATAATCATTGAATAATCTAAGCTGTAAAACATAACACTTATCACGCCTCTTGTAATTCAATCATTGTACAACATATCTTTTTTTTTCATTTACCAGCCTACTAGTATCCGTGGGGGGTCCATAGGGGTTCCGCTACCCGTTAATCTTTAACATTCATAATCAGTTTCCAGGGCCGTCCCCATACCCCGTCCGGTATGGGCGCCAAAACCATGAACCTCAATACCCCGTCCGGTATGAGGGTGAAACGGGCCGTCCCCATACCCCGTCCGGTATGGGCGCCAAAACCATAAACCTCAATACCCCGTCCGGTATGAGGGTGAAACGGGCCGTCCCCATACCCCGTCCGGTATGGGCGCCAAAACCATAAGATCTCCATACTCCGTCCGGCATGTGAGACCACAATCCCGGTAGGGTTCCCTACGGACCCGGTCCGTCCACCATCTCCCAGGATATCTAGTCAGGCTGACCCCCATAATACAATTATCAGTCTACACAATCTTTCATTTTCCCTTTTCCTCAATCAGCATCATCAATTCACATACAAACAAGCAAACAGTAATTCATGCCAAACAGACAACATACAGTATCAGTTTTTTAGTCATTCAACCCATGATTAATAAAAACGTAGTATATGCACACAAATCTGTAAAATGAACACATCAAACCTCATTTTGCATTTAAAGCTGTAAACAGGCCAAATAACAGTAAATCACCAATCACACTAGACTCGGGCTCCATTAGCCACCTTAAGCAATTTCACACATTCGTTAATTCAAGAAATACCGTTTTATCATTTTGAACTTTAATACCGTGATAGGAAATAGGGTGAGGGGTCCTTACTTGTTTTCGGGATCCGAATACGATTCACAGTGCGCCTGCAGGCCGTCCCTAATTTTCCCTGAATTTTTTCCGGGAAACTGAAACACACTAACAGTACCTGCACGTGTTCCAAAAAAAATCCAAATTAGGCCCAGGGCCTCTTTCGGCCCAAATCGCAACTCCGGCACGGCGGCTCCGCCGTGCTCCGGCGACGGCGCCGCCGCTGGCGGCGGCGAGTCGCCTCGGGTTGGCTGTTTTCGGCCGTTTTCGGCCGAATTCAGCCACACTCGCATTGGTCCTTGTCAGAAAAGAACCCTAGGGCCCTCGGGGGGCCAAAAAATCACGGAAAAGCGGAGCTTACCGGCGACGGCGCTCTCGGGTACGGCGGCTCTCCGGCGAGGTTCGTGTTTTGGTGATTCGGCTTCGGTCAACCTGTAGAAAAAAGAATGGTGATCACGGCGATATAAAAATTGCATCGAACGGAGGCCGGGAAGGACCTCGTCGGAGGCAAAAACCGAGAGGGGGTGCGGCGGCGCCGCTGGGTTTCGGCCGCGTATTCCGGCCGTTTGGCCGGGATTTCGGCCTCAATTTGGCCATAGGAGGAATCAGCGGGGAAAAACGAGTCGGGGGTATGAAATTTACCTCGATCGGCGGTTGGAAATTTCCCCGGTGCGGCAGCGGGTGGCGGCGGTCGGCCTCTGGTTCGTCTTCTCCGGCGAGCGGCGGGCGGCTAGGGTTTGTGGTCTGGTGTGGGAGTTCTATTTATAACCCCTTGCCTTTTGATCACAGCCGTTCATTTTGTTTTAATCTGGGCCGTTCGTTTTTGATTGAATCTGGGCCGTCCGTGCGATTGAATCTGGGCCGTCCGATCGCGCGATTGATCTGGGCCGTCGGATCGCACCCACGCGGATCGCCAACGTGGCTCCTTTCGGAGTGACGCGGTCTTGCCACGTGGTAGGCCCTGGTTGGCCGGGACTGCTGACCGGGCCTGCTGACGTGGCTGCTGACGTGGCCCCCCCTTTTTTTTTTTTTTTTTTTCCCCCTCCTTTCCGGGTGCTACACCCAGGGCCCCTTTTTGGTCAATATCGCAATTCCGGCACGGCGTCGCCGCCGCTTGCGGCAGCGATTCGCCTCGGTTTGGCCATTTTCGGCCGTTTCCGG